TATATATATATATATATATATATATATATATATATATATACAGTGCTGTGAAAAGGTTTTTGCCCCCTTCCTGTTTTTTTATTTATTTTTTGCATATTTGTCACGCTTAAAAGACTCAGATCAAACCAATTTTAATATTACACAGCGATAGATGTCCCGTTATATCTGGCATAAAACCAACACAGCATTTCATCATAGCAACAGTCAAACATGGTGGTGGTAGTGTGATGCTTTGCAGCTTCAGGACCACGACGACTTGCCATAATTGATGGAACCATGCACTCTATCAGAAAATCCTGAAGGAGAATGTCCGGCCATCAGTTTGTGACCTCAAGCTCAAGCACACTTGGGTTATGCAGCAGGACAATGATCCCAAACACACCTGCAAGTCCACCTCTGAATGGCTCAAGAAAAACAAGATTAAGGTTTTGGAGAGGCCAAGTCTAAGTCCAGACTTAAATCATGACCTTAAACAGTCCATTCATGCTCGAAAACCCTCCAATGTGGCTGAATTAAAACAATTCTGCAAAGAAGAGTGGGCCAAAATTCCTCCACAGCGATGTGAAAGACTCATTGCCAGTTATCGCAAATGCTTGATTGCAGTTGTTGCTGCAAAGGGCGGCACAACCAGTTATTAGATTGGCGAGTAAGTTAAATAATAACAGCAACTTCACTTTTGGGTGGAACTGTCTTCAATGGATAAATACATTTAAAATGTTTGCAGGTGTAAGTGCAAGTCTACATAGATAGATAGATAAAAATGTTAGCTACTTACTGTTTAATTTGGTTATTGTTATTGTTTATTTCTAATAAGTGGTCGGTTTGCGTCTGACAGATCCTGCACTGTCGATCACACGAGGTGTGTTAAAAACACATTATCAGCGGTTTTCATCAGTTCAAAGTTCACAAGGACATGCTCGGATCAGACCGGACATTTTACTCATTTCATCTGGAGTTTACAGTTTCCTAAACATGTATAGAAATGTCCTAAACATAGACAAACACGTGTTTGAATATGAGTGAAGAACTTTCAGCTTTCACTCATCTGTTCTTTTGAGGAGGGTCTTCTTCTTCTTCTTCGTGTTTTATGGCGGGTGGCATCCAACGTTAAGGTGCATTACCACCACCTACTATACTGGAGTGTGGACCAGAGTGACTAACAGAACTTTACATAAAAAAACAATTATTAATAATAAAAATAACAATTATACTTTATATTCTATTTATTTGAGGAGGGTCTTTCGTGCTGTTCTGCTTTTATCGCCACCTAGCGTTACCGAGCTGTTACTGCTGAGTTTCACTTCACTGCCTTTTTAATGTGCTGTATGTATACAAATATAATATTAATAGTAATTTTGAAAGTAGCTTCTTATTTTCCCTTAATTATTTTAATATGTTAGCGTCATATAATGAAAACTCTAGGTTTTATAGGATGAACAGAACATGTGGTTACAATACAAATGGCTTGTTTCATGTGCCTCAGTGGAACTCAGATGAAAAAATATAGGGTTAAATACTTAAAAAGTCTACATTCATCCTTCCACAATTTAAGTCTTTAAAAAGGTCTTAAATCAGATTCATAAAGTCATGGCATTAAATGTTGCATGCATTGCTAAAAATTATTATCTACCTTTTTATTGGTTTTCCCATACAAATATTTGAACATCCCTAAATCAAGATACATTTCGCCTACTTTATTTTCAATTAAAGAAGTGGTATAAAAATTGGGTATAAAATCTGTTTTCCTTTTTTTTTTAAATGAAAAAATAAATAAAAATACCTCCGGGTTTACATTTACCTTAATAAACCTTAAAAATATAGATATAAATCTTAAACTTACAAAAAGTGCCTTGCTATCTATGTTTTTGGACATATGGTATTCTCTGAAGTATGTTGGAGTACCATGCAAATACTATGGACGAAACATAATGAATATGTATGGGAATGCCTTGGTACTTTGATTATGGTTATGATTTTCATATTCATGTACCATGATATTTATATGGTTCTCAAGGAATGTTATGGCTCTATCATGTCAAACAAACGGGATTACTGGCTTAAAATAAGGTAATATAGTACCATGTACCATACTTTTTGGTAATAGTAGATTATTACTTATAGTAATACTTGTTAGGGTAAAGTCCAATTTTGCAGCAAATAATGTGTACACACGTGTGTGTGTGTGTGTGTGTGTGTTTGCATTTAGTTCAATTACAGTCAAATACAGCACAAAAAGAACAAGAGAAATATGAAGCATTGTTGTACAGTTCAGAATGTGAAAAAAATGAGCAACAAAATATGAAGTGAACATATGTGTAAAAATAAATACATAAAATTAAATAAGAAAATAAAATGTATCCTACTATATAATATATTCACATAAATTTGAAACGGTTTAGAATTGTTACGTTTCTTGTTTTGTGTTCTCATATTTGAAAGCGTTGTTATTGTACATTGTGAGCGTTTTAAGGTTAATCTTGTCTTGTGAAAATAACACTTTGCCAAAATAATTAAAAGATTAATAACGCAATTTTATCAAGCGCACTTGGGTTCTGCAGCAGGACAATGATCCCAAACACACCTGCAAGTCCACCTCTGAATGGCTCAAGAAAAACAAGATTAAGGTTTTGGAGAGGCCAAGTCTAAGTCCAGACTTAAATCATGACCTTAAACAGTCCATTCATGCTCGAAAACCCTCCAATGTGGCTGAATTAAAACAATTCTGCAAAGAAGAGTGGGCCAAAATTCCTCCACAGCGATGTGAAAGACTCATTGCCAGTTATCGCAAATGCTTGATTGCAGTTGTTGCTGCAAAGGGCGGCACAACCAGTTATTAGATTTAGGGGGCAATTAATTTTTCACATAGGGCCAGGTAGGTTTGGACCGCTTTTTTCCCTTAAAAATTTTTCAAAACTGCATTTTGTATTTACTTGCATTATCTTTGTCTAATATTAATATTTGTTTGATCTGAATCTTTTAAGTGTGAGAAATATGCAAAATTAAAAAAAACAGGAAGGGGGCAAAAACCTTTTCACGGCACTGTGTGTGTAAGTATGATTTGGAAAATATAGTAAAAAAAAAAAAAAAAAAAAGGTTCAACATTTCGTTTTTTTTTATGTTAAGGTGAATCCAAAACTGAAGAAAAAAAGGCATCAAATAAATGTTAAATATGTTCAACTGATATGTTGGGGAAAAAGTATAAATGGTTGTATGTACGGCACAAGATGTATGAATAAGCACGCAGTGTGTGTGTGATCATTAAGCGGCTTGATCAATGTTTGTGATCGATCGAGCGGCCGCGGGCTTTAGGACCCGGATGTGCAGTGAGTCTCAGACACCGGTTGATGATCCGCTCGCGACTCATTCAATGTCTGAATGTCTGTTATCAAAGAACAATAAAACGCACGTCTCTGTCGGACACGTTACACACGTTTATGCTCTTGTATTAACACTAGTCCTCGTACTCCTCTACCAGAGACCGGGCTGATCACCGCGGACCGGCGCACATCTGCATCACCGGCGGATTCCGGTGAAGAGAGCGAAGCCGCGCTCAGTCGTTCCCCGTCAGTCCGCTTCAGGCCACCGGCGACAGCATGAGCCAGAGGTTCACGGTGACCGCCGGTGACATCCAGGGCGAAGTGAACCAGCTGTTCGAGGGCGATGAGGAGACGCCGAGCGCATCTGAGGCATCCGGGAAAGGTGAGAGATTAATGACGCTTTGACACCTGTGAAGAATAAACTCATCCAGCAGCTGGGAATGTGAGGCTGGGATATTCCTAAATATTCAACACACCACCCTCTGATAGTGTAACCATCAAATGAGACTAAATGACGATATTTTATAATGTGGTATGTACAAAATATATTTCATATGCATGTATTAATTATATAAAAAAAAAATACATATAAACCTATAATCAGATCTGGCATCAGTCATTTTTAAAATCTGTAAACTAGCGGTTCAGTAATGCACTAAAGTTTAATGCTTTTATAATGCCTGGTGCATAATATAATATAGTTCATAGTCTAAATGTATTATTATTATTTCATATCAACTCATATTCATCATTGTGAAAAAGTTTAATATTTCATATATTACAAATCCATATTAAAGCTTATAATCTCCTGGGCATGTAAATTCATATAAATATATAAATTCCCTTGATCTTTTGTTTATATATATATTTGCAAGACTGCATTACTTTTTATGACTTGAAATGGTATTGTTTTGTATAATAAATCATTTTTTAATAGAATACTTAGTGCTTATTTATATAGTCTATGCAGATGACAGATTATATTCATATTCTAATATATTCATGTAATATTTCATGTAGAGTATACTGAATATATATATATATATATATATATATATATATATATAATATATTATTTATTTTCATAAGCTATTTTGATCATTATATTATATAATGATATGATCTGATAATATGTATATATAATATGTAATACAGATTTATAATATATTCATACAATATTTCATATAGACTATATTGACTATTTTTGAATTTCATAAGGACTAAGAAACTCCATATGCCATTGCTGAAACTGTGCTTTATTATTATATCATTAAATGCACTGAACATTGGGTTTTATTTGTCTATTGCACACTTTAAGTTTTTTGTATGTCCAGTGCAAGCATATATTTTCATTGCCTAAGCTCAAGCTGTCATATATATTGCGTTCATAATCAGTGCATCTTGTGTAAACTTTGAGATTTGAATCCTTCTTTGTGTGAGGAAAGAGAATCTGCTTGTGTTCATTTGTTCATCAGTACTGCAGTGACAAATCTGACAGAGAGGCCAGTTTGGTGTCTTATTCCTTATAGTGATGGATGAAAGGAATGGATGTAGTATGACGATGGTTACAATGTCTTGCCATGTCTGTCAGCCTTAAGTGGGCACGGTTGTCTTCACATAATGGCACTTCTGATGGTCTATTATATTTGATGAAGCCTTTGGATATTTAATTAGGCGAAATGCATTTTTGGCACACTGCGCTGTGTGACATACAGGAAGTCTATTAAATACAAGTCAGGCGGGATTAATCAGCTGTAGTCATTAGCCTCTTGATGTTTTCTGTGATGTGGTTAGCTATTTTTTCCTCTGAGATTCTGCTAAGTATTAAACAATTAAGTGATTTGATGGATGTAGAGAAATGCAACAAAACAGTCTGACTTTATTATTATGACAAGGAATTTGTCTATGCACACTGAAAGGGAAAGCGCAATGCGATGCATCAGAACATGTTTGATGTGGAGCGGGATTTTGGAGCAGTGAGATGGAACTGTGGATGGGAATATTTAACATGACATGACTGAAATAGATACTAAGTGACCCACTAAATACTGAAATACTAGTATAGGTCTAGTTTTGGTGTGTTTTGGCTTTTTACTAAGGGCACCTTGTTCTTAAAATAATTGATTTTAGCAATATGCATTGCAGCTATTTGAATTGCACCATTAAGTTGTACTACAAATGTTGTAGTTCTTGTACACCTGACAGGTCTCAGAGTTCAGTGAAATGAATACCTGCCTACATGTCCTACATTTCTCTGAAAAATAGCATGATAGGAAGCTTTGCTCTAAAAACTAGTGAGCTGCTAGGGTGCATTGTAACGTATTACTACAAGTAGGGCCGGGAATCTTCACTATCCAATCCGATCCAATTTTGGGAATTGCAATCCATTTCTAAAATGTTTCTTGGTCTAAATTTTTTTTTTGTCAATTTTGCAAGTTTTTAGAATAATAAATTAAGTGATATAGAATGAAAATAATTCAGATTTTTTAAAGTTTCCTTTAAAACTATTCATAGTAAGTTGTAAGTTATAGTGCATTTAACAGTGTTATTGCCTACAAGTTTAATAACAGCAGCATTTCACCCAAATGCATTCTTTTTTTCATAATTTTGAAGAAACAGTTTTGGAGTTGTTTATTGCAAAGTTTTATATGGACTTTTCCAGTGTTGTAAAAAAAGAACTTTATCCCTGAACTTCTGCATTTGTGTTTTACTTTGAAAATAGGCACTTTTCATATTATTTATAAATATTTTATTGAAATAATTCCTTGCTAACTTTTACAAGCATAAATATACATTTTCAAAGAAGTTCTATACATGATAAAGTCTTTGAATGTTTAACGAGGCAAAATGTGCCCTTTTTCTTTTTTATTAATGAGTTTACCAACTGAATATCAAATATATGGGTGTATTTTTGTTAAATTAATTATATATACTTATATAAAAATAATACCAAATTAGTAATAAATCAAAACAATTGTCCGTTAAGAATTTTTAACTAAGTAAATATAGCTTTTGATGCAAAGCTTGTTAATAATAATAATTTGATGATATAATTATAAAATGCCTTCTTTTTCACTGCATTGCTCAGTAAAAATCAGCTTTATCTTAAACATTTCATTCAATATTGAAATGAATTGATAAAATAGCTAAACATAATTGATTTCCGGTATTACTTTACCTAGTTTAATGTATTTGAGTACGTTTATCAACTATCACATGCACATAACACACAGAGTACTATCTGTGCGGCATTTGTAGTTGCACTTACGAGGAACATTTTAATTAGGTTACTTGTTTAGAAGGTGCAAGGCAGCTCACTAGATTGTGGAATAGAGCTTGAGGCATCTGTTCTGATGAGTTCACTACCAAACATTGGTGTTTTTGCCATGTGAAATCCATTGAAGTCACAAATCGAAGACAGTGTCCAGGAAGGTGTACTGTAGAATGTCCATCTTTGGTGTTCCCATCCATAGATGTAGAGATGCGCACCTGTAGTCTCCTAGAGACAATACAGCCTTGGAGCTCTCGTCTCCGGTTCAAGTCACCACAACGTTTCCATGACAACTGCATCCCCTTTGTGCCATGATTGGTGTGTGCTGAGGGAGTGCTGAATGCAATGATATTAGTAAAACCACAATGACTGCTCTCGCCATGCATGCATTGTCCAATAATGCTGCTCTATCACCTCCTGTGTCCATAAAACAAGCATGAATTGGCTGAAACCCACTCTGAGCTCTTTATTCTGACGTGCATGTATTTGTGTGCGAGTGTCTGTATGCATGCATGCATGCATGCATAAACAAAAAAATTGCAAAGAGAATAGGCTATTAGTTTAGTAGTCAGTCCACATTCATGAGCATCACTGGTACATTCCTGCATCTCATGTGTGTTTGGTGAGAAAGTCCTTGACGAGGATGAAGCATCTGTGCTATTTTTCATGCTATTGCTGATGTTGTTTTTATCGATCTGAGATGCCACCTATGTAGAGGTTCATCTGACCTTGAAGATCTCCAGACAGTCTGAAAGATCTAGCCCGACACTACACGCTGTATGAAGCTAATAGGATCATTAAGACGTCCTGGATTTGGTTTAAATTATTCAGTATCTGATTCAGTGTGGCCCTCTCTTGTAGTAGCCTCATTTTAGTGGTAGATATTACAATAATAGTCAGGAGTATTTGCAGTTAAACTGGAAGAATAGTTACATTTTTACATTTTCTGAGGTGCTGTCAGTGGTGCAAAACTCACGGGCGCAGTGCTAGTTTGATTGTTAATTCTAATCTCTTCATTGGCCAATTTATTTTTATATTTATATTCTTTTATAATTAAATTATTAATATAACTCTGATATCATTAACTGTATATATAATATACAGTTAATAAATAATATTTTTTGTCTCCACTACTTTTGGAGAAAATTATTGCAGTTTTGGATTTTTTTATATATATATATAAATATATATATATATATATACAGTGGCGTGAAAAAGTGTTGGCCCCCTTCCTGATTTCTTATTTTTTTGCATGTTTGTCACACTTTAATGTTTCAGATCATCAAACTAATTTAAATATTAGTAAAAGATAACACAAGTGAACACAACATGCAGTTTTTAAATTAAGGTTTTTATTATTAAGGGAAAACAAAATCCAAAACTACATGGCCCTGTGTGAAAAAGTGTTT